AAAATCAGCAGCTTGGAATATCACAAATTTGTTATCTCAGTTTCTCTATTTAGGAGTCCAGCATGTTTTAACTGGGACTTCTCACTATTTTAAAGGCTGAAATCAAGATGTGGGCCAGCTGTATCCTCATCTGGAAGCTGAACTAGGGAACTAATCTGCTTCCAATCTCCTTCAGGAACTTTATCGAAATTATTCTTTCCCCCCCAATCCATAGTGTAGCTGTGTCATTGGATTTTTCTCTATGAGGACTATTATTTTGTTCCTTTTTGCTATTTTTATACCATGCCATTGCCACAGTGTTTATTACACTTGAAAATGATATTCATGGTACCCAGTTAGAGAAGTCTTCTCCCTTGTTTTTTTTCTTTTAGAGTATGATGGCTAGTCATGGTCTTTTGCTGTTCTATATTTAACATTAGTATGTAAAGCTCCATTTTATTTTTTAAATGTTTATTTTGAGAGAATGAAAGAGCAGGACAGGGGGAGGAGCAGAGGGAGAGGCAGAGAGAGAATCCCAAGCAGGCTCTGCACTATCAGTGTAGACCCCAATGTGGGGCTTGATTTCGTGAACAGTGAGATCCTGATCTGAAATCAAAAGTCCGATGTTTAACAGACTGAGACACCCAGGTGCCCCTGAAGTTTCATTTTAAACAATTGGGGCTTTAACTTGGAATAGTATTGAATCTGTAGATCAATTTGGAAATGTATTAGTTTGCTAGGGTTGCCATGACAAAAGATCACAGATTGGGTGGCTTTAACAACAGAAATTTATTTTTTTTCACAGTTCTGGAGGCCAGAAGTCTAAGATCAAGGTGGTACAGGTTTGGTTTCTTCTGGGCCTCTTTCCTTGGCTTGCAGGTGGCTGCCTGCTCACTCTGTCATGTGGTCATCCCTTTGTTTGTGTTCTCTCCTGTTAAAGTCACCAGTTATGTTGGACTAGAGTTCACCCATATGATCTCATTTAACCTTCATTACCCCTTCAAAGGCTCTTTCTCCAATTCTCCAAATATAGTCACATTCTGGTGGTTAGACTCGAATGTATGAATCGGTGGGGGGGAGGGGGAGCACAATTGAGCTTGTAACAGGCGACCACTGACATTTTTCCAATACTGAATCTTCCAATCTATAAACACAATATATCCATCAATTTATTTTTATATTCTTTAATGCCTTTCAATGAAATTTATCATTCTCCGTAGAGGTCTTAAATATTAAATTGAGGGGTGCTGATGGCATGGAGCCTGCTTGGGATTCTGTCTTTCTCTGCCTCTCTGCTCCTCCCCTGCTTGCTCTCTACCCCCTTCTCTCAACAATAAATAAACATTTGAAAAAAAATTATGTTGAATATTCTCAATTTACTTAATCAGATCCTTACTCCTTCCTTCTGCACTATGGTTCATGTCTTAAGAGGGATGACATTTATGGCTTCTATCAAGTGACATTTAGGCACTCCTTGCCTCCTGACCTCTGGATAGGTTTAGCCAGTGAGAAGCCTGGGCAGGAGATCTGAGTATTCATTCCCTTATTCTTTTCCACTACTGGGGCTCGTGATGGGTGGCTACAGCTGTGTTCCTCTCCTGAGTTTTGCAGCTCTCTCCCAGTAGCCTTCTCCTATCGACACAGCTCTGGGAATTCAGGTTAAGATAACTGCTCCTTTTCAGTCACCCATTCGCATCTATGGTTAGTACCCCATCTTTTCCCTGAGCCTCTTCAGCATTCCTTATCGGTTACTTTTGATCCTGACTACATCTTAGTAAATGCTCCATTCATTAAACTCTACATTTTCTATATGTCAGTGTGCCAGCTTTTTCTCCATTTCTACATTTCAGTGTGCCAGGAATTTCCTGCTGGGAAACATACTTGGTCAGATTTATTCCCAAGTACTTTTTATGTCTCGAAGCTATTTTATATGGCACATTTAAAAATTACATTTTTGGGGCGCCTGGGTGGCTCAGTCGGTTAAGCGTCCGACTTCGGCTCAGGTCATGATCTCACGGTTCGTGAGTTCGAGCCCCGCGTCAGGCTCTGTGCTAACAGCTCAGAGCCTGGAGCCTGTTTCAGATTCTGTGTCTCCCTCTCTCTGACCCTCCCCCATTCATGCTGTCTCTGTCTCAAAAATAAATAAACATTAAAAATTACATTTTCTGTTTGTTGCTAGTTATAGAAATGCAATTAGTTTTCTGATACTTTTTTTTTAATCTAGCAACCTTGCTAAACATTCATTACTTCCAATAATTTGTTAGATCTTTAAAACATATTTCTTTATATGTTAATCTCCATGAATAATCTTTAAATAATCGCAGATTTGTAACTTTGTTTGTAACACATGCCTATTTGGGTTATCTAAACATCTAATAGAATGCTGTGTTGGAGTGACATTATATTAACTGCATTAATCTGTCTTCTAATATTAAACTGCTTTTGAAGTCTACACCATTGATCCAGATACATATTACTTTCAAAAATTAGAATCCAAATGAGCAGGAAGTGCACTTTTTAAAAACACATTTTTCCGTTTCCTTTTTTTAAAATTGAAGTATGGCTGACATACAATGTTATATTAGCTTCAGGTATACAACATAGTGATATGACAATTCTATACATTATGCAATGCTCACCACCATAAGGGTAGTACCTTCTGTCATTATATAAAGTTGTATACATTCTTTAGAGACAGGTAGTTATCAGTTATATACTTATCTACACTCGATGAGCAACTAGTGGATATATACTAATATTTTACTGACTAGTTGCTTTGAGTTGTGTCTTTCATTTACCGCCATCAGTAATAGTTATTTAATCAGTAAACAATCATTTGTTGAGCATCCACCAAATGCCATTCACTCTTCCAGTACTAGAGTACAAAGATGACAAAGCCATAACCATTGCCATTAAAAGAAGCTCATAATTTAAGTGTGTGAAGTCTGTGTGTGTTGAATGAAAAACATATAGAGTAAGTCTGTACTGTAAATGAGTGAACAAAATGCTAAGAAAATAGAACGGGAAAGTACTTCAAGTCTCCATTCAAGACTTGAATCTTGGGGCGCCTGGGTGGCGCAGTCGATTAAGCGTCCGACTTC